GTAATCAGCTTAATTAGTATTATATAGACTGTAACAAAAAAACATACTGCAGCCAAATTCTTGTAGAAATATAATAACAAATTCTCTCCGCAAATCTTTGGTTACGCGGCATGTAAATTGGCAATTTGGCGTGGGGACATTTGAGAGAACTGAACAATGTTTCCTTAATGTTGTGATAGAATGAATACGAAAGAGAGGGAAAGAAGATGGGATGAATACAGAGGAAAAGGGCGCTCCTTGTCAAGGGTCTTGTCAAACTTGTCGAGACATTGTGTCATTGTTGTTGTAGTTGTTGTTGTCATTGTTGGCGATGTCTCAGCAAATTATGGCGGCCTCAATGCGTAAATGATGCTTAATTAACATTCACAAAGTTTGCAACGTACACTCAGAAAAAAGTGTAATGCCATTTTTTTAGACTCTAGAAATAAATTTCCAAACATACCCAAAAAACCAAAAAAAAAAAAATAGTTTATTTAGTTTCAGCTTACTATTTTCCTTTGTGTAGTAATATTTTGTTTTTTTAAGAAATATATATTTTAAAGGTAGAAGTTGAGTAAGTTCTGAGTGTAGGTGGGAGCACAGAACGCTAAAAGCATGGAACTACAGGAATGTGAGTGGCAGGCCTGCGGGTTGGGGTCGCCACCTGCTAAACACATTTAGGCCAAAGGGCAGGCCGCAAATAGACGCAAAGAAATTGCAAATGATGTGCGCTTATAGCTTAAATACTGGAAACAGGCAATTGCAACAAGAAACGGGGCGGTGAACGGAGAAAAGTCTAAGCCCATTAAGGCCAAGTGACGAAGAGTGACAGCCGCAAAATATATACAACGGCATTGCCATCAAGAGCAAAAGGCAATAGTCACAAACACACGCACTTCTGACACGCACAACAAAAATGGGAAAAAGGCAACTAACTGCTGCCAGCGGCTACAATCAGTGAATCTCAGTGGCAGCTGCTGCAGGCGCAGTTCAAGGCCAACCCGTTTACTTTGGCCTTAATTAAGCCATAAGCCAAGCTGTGCCCGGGCCAAAGAAAAGAAACGTAGCAGTAACAGACGCAGATAACAGCTAATGAAAATCACTTGGCCAAAGAGTAACGGCACATCAACAACAATGTGCCAAATGCTGTGGAGCATAACAAAAGGAACGATTGAAGGAAAGGCTCAAAGGGGGTGGTTGGGTCACACAGGATACGCTTCTAATACAATTAGAAGCGCTTTAGCTAAGTGCTTCAATGGAAGTGCCTCAGTGGAAGTAGAGGCAGCTGCTGCTAAAAATACAGCTCTAAAAACTGACCTCCAGCTGAAAACAGCCATAGCCTACCACTCTCCCCTGAGGCTGTGGGTTAAAAGCTAGTAGTATAGGCTGACAATGCGACTTAAAGCCAAAAGTGGCCAACAAATAACGTAAATAAAAAAAATTCAAATGCCAAGTTAAAACCAAGCAAAAATGTTTAACATTGAGGCAGGTGCGTATACACAGTAAAAGCAAATAGGTGGCAAATAATGAAATGAACTGCAGCCGAGCTGAAAGGTTGTGTGGATGGGCGTAGGCAAGGAGAAAATGTTGGGTATTGGCTGCAAATGAAAGCAATTGCGTACAGTAAACAAACCACGGCCTTGAGGGAAGCAGCGTGGGGTAAGTGCAGGGATTATATGCTTCCGGATGTACTCGCTATGCTATAATGGTACTCCTTTGGCTTGTGCATTATATTAAAACGCTAATGAGGCGGCAGTCGCATTGCTAGGGAACCATCGCCATCCACAAACCCCTCATCCGCAATCCGGTACCTTTTCCACACAACACCCCCCACTGAAAATGTCTGCAGATGGCGTTGTGTTAATTGAAAATTAATGGCGCGATGGCAAAAACTAAACATGAAAATTTGCTGACGATGATGCTAGCGCATTAAATGTCCGCCAGGTGGCGCTAAGGGTGGTGAGTTTAGGTCACTGGTTTGTTTGTAGCAAGCTGTAATTACCAGCAAATGCGTCAAGTGCTAAGCAGATTAACACATTTCCATAATTATATATACATTTATATATATATATATGTATATATAAAGAGGTGACAAGAAGGCAGCTGAAAATGGTTAGGGGCCATCATAGGTCAAGGAACGGTGTTCGGATCAAGTGCGTCACACAGAAAATTCGTAATTAATCACAATTAAAATCAGGCAAAAGTTGTCACTTATTCCTCCATGCATTTGCTTGTTCTTCGTTCTCATCTTGTTCTTGTTCTTTTGCAACTTTTTGACTGGGGATACCACAGCGTCCGAGAGATGTGTGACATGGAATTGCGATGTGGGCGGGATCTCACTCGGAGGTCGCGGTCATGGACGTGGCCGGAACAGATGCCCCGGCTATGGTAATGGCGACAAGCTTAATACTTTCTGCTAGGCCCCGGGGTACCCCACGCAGAGGGCAAATTAAAATAAATATGCCGAAAAAAGGGGTTAAATGTACATTGCTGTAGAGAGGGCTGTGAGGATGCCAAGGAAATTAAAGGAAATTACAGAATGAAAAAGTGAAGACAACGCGAAATTCCCAAAAAAAAAAAAAACACAAATAACAAATAAAAAGAAAATGCGACAAAGGCAAGAGCTAAAGGAAAGGCAACATTTCTGAACGAAAAAGAGAATTAAGAGCAGCGAAAGTACTGCGCACAATAATAATATTACATAGCGTGGTTGGAAAACAAGAGAATGATAAATTACGAATAAGAGAAAAGCATCAAATGTCACAGAGCAATTAAAAATAAATGAATAGAAATGCCGTGGCATTATTTCATAATGTAACATTTTTCAAAATGTGAACCATTTTCTTATTCTAAGCTGGACATAAAATTCAGATCGAAAATTCAGATAGCATATGAACCTAGTACTAAAACGCATTACAATTTTCTTTTTTCTTATATTTTCACCATGAGTTCAATTTGGAAAATGTTTAAGAAAATATAAAAAACATTTCAGATACATTTTTTAAATTCTGGAAATCGAAAAATGTTTTTTTTTTAACAACTTGTAAAAGGCATTTTTAATTAATAATTTAGTTATTGAAATGCTTGGAAGAAGTTGTCATTGAGTTGAGTTTTGATGGAGCTATGTGAATTGAGCGCAGTAAGATCAGAAAAATGTTTGAAGCTATTCGAAGTGACTCATAATTGAGACACAAGTCAAATATATACACGAGAACTAAGCGTGTGTGCTTAGGTGTGTGTGTGTATGTGTGACACAGACTACTTAACGGACTGTTTTTGCTCAAACCCAAGTGGGGGCGAGTGCGGCTCTGAGCAAATTGTTGCCAAACCAAATTTGATTGTCAAATGAGGATGGCAAGGAGGGACAGTGGGTGAATAGCAAATAGATAGCTCAGTACTTGAGCCCGCAAATAATACTGTTACTTAACATTTGGGTCGCAAACAACACTCACACACACGCACACACACACACATAGATACTTATACAGATAGAGCAACTTGGCAAACGCCAAACTAAGCACGAAAAGGCTACAAGCAAAACTTCTGCAAATGTGTATGTGGCAATAAATGTCTCCTGCGGCCAGTGGCAACAACGAAAAGTTGCTGCTTAAGTGATACAAAATGCAAATATACGCCACGCTACGAAGTCGAAGATGTAGAGCACAAGACGTCCAGTGATGACAGAGGGTGCCACAGCGTGGGCAGAGTGTGTGGGTGTGGAGTTGTATAGGGAAGTGGCAAGCAAATGCGTAGACAGTGGTTGCCAAAGTCACTTGAAGAGCTTCACGGCTTAAGGTTATTTGCACGACGTCAACTCGTCTCGACCCGACCCGACCCGCACATGTGATATATCCACTCGACTCGATTGTTGTGCATCACACACACACACACACTCACACCCACAGGCCCACCTTCCCTTCCTCCACTGCCACTGTCAGCCACTTGTGGAGGCTGTAAAAGTGGCGTCCATGTGACTGATATGTGGCATTGGCAGCCAGCTTAAGATGAAATGTAAACACAAACAAAGCGTCGACCAAGTTAGGATGCCACGGCAAAGAAAAAGAGAGAAAAAAAAGCCTAACTACCCCCTAGGTGACAACCCAACCCCCAATTTCCTGTGCCATATTGTTAAATTATGCGTGACAAAATTTGGCGCTGTTGTTGTCAGTTTTGTTATTGCTTATAGTAGTTGTTGTCGCCAGTTTGTCAGCACATAAAACGCAGTGAAAACAAAAACAGAAAACAAAAAAAAAGAAAACAAAAAATTCATCTGCATAGCAGCATCATCTAAATCAACTCAGTATTTTGCATGAGTCAAAGTTTCCACTCCTTCTCCCGCAGCCTATCTGGTCACGTAACATCCACACAGCGAAAGAGAGAGAGAGAGAGAGAGAGAGAGAGAAGGAAAAAGAATATACATATATAGAGAAAGTCACCACGTGCTTTGAATGGTTTGTGACACCCACTTGTAAGCTGGTACATTTTGACGATGTGGCCGTCGATCGTGACCAATTGGATAAATTTTACTCATACTACATATATTTGTATACATATATATATATATATATCTATATATATGTATGTATGTATGTATGCACTCATATTCTCCAGTCAGCACCAACACCAGATAGCGAATTTGTACAATAGCTTTTATGGGAAAGCATTTGAAAGTGATTTTGATTTTATACCCGCACAGGAACAGCTGCTCAATCCATTTTACATACATCCCGACAATGTCACGAACAGCACTTGTCAATGATGTTATCATTGAGAATTCTTGTCTTCGCAAGACACTAGCTAATCATACAATAAATCCGACAAGAAGATGCCCGGCAAAGGCAGCAGTTCGCAATCAATAAAAACTTACATTTTTGAATTTTTTTTGCGTTACAATCTCTTTAAAAATATTAAAATCAAAGCTAGTAGACCATCGAATTCAAATCAGTTTATTTTAGATCTGTGTAAATCAACGCAACTAGAAAATAACAAAATTATAATATTTGTAAACTTTTTCAACTTACTTAGAAGTTAGGACACTTCAGCAACAACATGGATAATGCCAGTGAATTAAAACGAAAGAGAGAATTTGACATTTCAGACAATGAAGAATATGAAGAGGAGAATACTGCTAAGGTTGCCAAGAAGAACGTGTTCAACGGTTCTATTATATTCATCGAAGGAAGAGACTTTGTGGTGATCGCATCGGATAATCGTTTGATCACCAAATTAGATATTCTGCGTAAGCACTTCAAGCTCTTTCCGATGACACCGCAGTCGATAATCGGCTCGATTGGAAACTGGGGCGATGTAGTCGCGATGACCGCCTTGATCAGGCGTCGTGTACAGGTGTACGAGCAGGACAACAAAAAGACCATTTCGACTGAGGCCCTCGCCTCGATGATCTCAACTTTAATGTACAACCGCCGACTCTTCCCATGCCTCATGATCACAATTCTGGCCGGGCTGGACAATGAGGGTAAGGGTGCCGTCTTTCACTTTGATGAGATTGGCAACCGTGAACGGTGCCGCTACCTTATTATCGGTGGAGCACGTGACATCATGTTGGCAAAACTGAGACATAGCATCGGTGAGATCGACAGCGGCATCATCCCATCCGATCAGTATCAGCAACTCACCAAGGAGCGTGCCTTTGGCATTGCTCGCGACTGTTTCATACATGCCTCTCATCTACGTGCTGACATCGGTAATACGGTTATGATCAAAACCATCTACACAAAGGGGAGCCAGGAGACGATTCTGAAGTTGCGTTAGACTCAACTTGAATTGCGCATATCTCTGATTCAAATGCGGAACGTTTTATTTGTGAACCGATCAAGATATATGTTGTAGGACTACGATTATTATTTGCTTATATTGTTATACTTAATAATCATTGTCAAGCACAATTATATCTAAGTATATTTCGCATTTTATTTAGTTACGTTTGCAGACGTATGCTATTTTTTACAGTGATACTTGCTAATATGTAGATTTTGTTGTGATTGCTATGGCATTATTTAAATTTTGCTCACTTAGTTTGCATGGGACTTTCATATCTCCTGCCCACTTTAGTATTTTTCTTATGCTCCCTCGTTCAGTTAGGTATTTAACATTCAGTATTCTTATTCTTATTCTCAATTTGGTTGCTGTTGTTGTTGTTGTTCTGGTTGCTCAGGCAACCCATTAAATGGTACAGGCCACCCCAAGAAAATACTGCTTCAAGCGTCCATTCACCCCCTAGACGGACGGACGCTCCCGCCTGCTTTGGCCAGCTTCTGCCGTGTTCTATGCCTCGCTCCTTGCCCCTCGCTCTCACCCCTTAGCCCACCTACTCCACTCGCTTCCCCGGCACGTCAATTCAATACGTTTAAAAGTTCATTTGCTGTTTAGCTTGGTCATTATGTGCCTGCCTGACTGCCTGTTTGGTTTTCTACCCAGTCACACTCCCTCCCCCGACCCGCTGGCAGTCGCTTGTCAGGCCTCACAGTCTGCGCCTTTGTCGGCTCGGCCATTAAATGGGCACTCAATGTGTTTGTCTAACTTGCCATTTGCGATGATAATAATGTCGTATGGCCGTTACATTGATGTTGCCTGAACGGCCCCGTTACGGGAGAGCAACCGAACAACCGCACAACCCAACAATCGGACAACCCGACTATCGGACAGTGCTTTGTTGTACCTACTCATTGTTGTTATACCCTTAGAAAACGCATATGAGGTCAACTACTATTAGGATTATGATACCATGTGCACGCCATGATGGCAGCTGAAGTAGTCCCAATCCTGAAAGCTTCATTCATATGACCATAGCGCTATCAATGTAAATGTAAGATATTTTATAAATTTTTGGAAATTTAGCTCTCGTATAAAATTCTTTATTCTTTCTACATCAACTCAGACATATTTGATGTGTTTCAAAATATATTTTATTTTATATACACAAGAAGTAAGCAAATATAAAAATATTTATACTGAGATGGGTAAATTTCTGTGTATGCCAGTTAAAAATTTTGTTGGCACTTGCTAAAAACTGATTATTGTATACTATATTTATATATTGGATTGCTAGGGTATTAAGGCTTGTCTCCCTAACTCTCTCTCTCTCTCTCTCTCTCTCTCTCTCTCTCTCTCTCTCTCTGTCTCTCTCTCTGTCTGCCTCTCTCTGTCTGTCTGTTTCTCTCTGGCTGTAGCTCGTTAACTTTCCCTCTTCCTCAATCATTTGTTTGCTTTTACTGTTTCTGTCGTTGTTGACTGACTGTCGATATATATTTCCAAATCGTTTGGCTTGGCGTTTTGATTTCGTTATCAGTTTTTATGTTTATAAGTGAGACACACACCCAGATATATAAGCAACATACACGTAAGCTGTGCGTGTGTTAGTGTTGTCTGGTTTTTATTTGTGCGCTGTTTGGTCAATTGGAAAACATTTCGTAGCAGACTTTTCGGCGCTCGCCACGAAATCGTCGCTCGACGGGCGGTCGCCAAAGTGACGACAACCATGGAATTCGTTGTTTGTTGTTTTTGTTGCTGCTGTAACTAGATTGCTCCTTCTGCTCCTCCTGCTGTTATTCATGTTATAGTCAGTGGCTGCTGCTGCTGTTGCTGTCGGCATAATGGCGTCGTTATTATTTTGGCATTAAAAGAATTAATACGCTTCAATGGACTCTCAACGTAAATAGATCGTTAGGCAGCGTGCCAATAGCAGCTGTACCAGCAGTAGCAATAGCAGCAGCCACACACCATTCTCCACACCCCCGCCCCTTACACCAACCATGTCTTTGCATAGTTGTGTGTTTTGTCAGCTCTTTATGAATGCACGCTTTGCTAGTTTTGTTGGATTTTCACTTTGCTTTGTCACGCCATCGAGAACAATTTTTGCCACTTCACATGCAAAAAAGCACAAGCATAAACACACACACACATACACACACGCGCACACACACATACACATACATATACACTTATATACTTGTGGCTGAGGGCTGGCGGGACTCTCTCAATTTAAATGGGCCCACTAACCACTTGAGCACTCGCAACGCAATCAATAAACTTTGTCTTATTTGTGTTCCTCTATTCCACTACTATGAAGTGTTTCGCATAGTGTTGATTCTTCTAATACATAATATTTATGATCTCGTCTCTTCTTCATTTCCATTACATCTTTTACTTATTGAATTAAATGGTGTTGGTGATTTAGTTTCCTGTTGGGCTTTGCTTAACAATAAATTCAATTTAAGTTTTTAAAAACATTTATTTTTAAATGAAATCTCGAAGAAACTATTCCGGTTACTTAATATCGTCGGTACTGTTCAACCCTTTGGACCTGATTAGATATTAATTAATTTGATTTAAATTGATGCAAATAATAAAATGGAATTCAATGCAACTCGTCTTAATTGTATGTGAATGTGTGCTTAATAAAATTTGGTACAAATTTATCTGATATATGAGAGGGCAAACCATTACATTATAATGCAATGTTTTGAATTTCAAATGACACTCAACTGTTTTGGAATATTCCGACCATCAGCATAATGATTTTGATTACGTATAATTCCAGAGGGGTTGCGGCGGAGGGAGGTGGTGGGAGGCGGTATTGATATATTGCAGCTTCAGCAATTTTCAAATTGCAATTGGAAATTTGCCATGGTGCTGGGATCAGCAGCATTTCAATTTAGTTGCATGCAAATATTTAGATAATTTAAAATGCTTCGGCTCAAATGCAAACAAGCATTTCCACACAGACAGCATTGGAGCCAGTGAGGAGAGTTACGGATGACGAGATACGCAAATACAGATACATATGTAACCAGCTGCTGTCGCTGCATTTCGCTTAGATACAAGACACCTGCCATAGAAACATATTTTGATTTTCACATTGAATTTGATTTGGTATTTCTTTGAGTAACCTTCAACTCAAAACACAGGGCATATTCTGCAGTTGGATTATTTGTTACGAATACATTTCCGTTGTACATTTTTACAGCGTATCTCCCAGTCAAGCTTGTTCTTACTCGTGTATTTCGTTTTGCCAAAATAGATGCGTCCATAAACCAAAGCCTTCTACTAAAATTCCAAAAATATTCGCACTGCCTCGCTTGAGTAATAATGATTAGTGAATTTATGGTCAAACCGCATCTCTGAGCTATTGCATTAGTTTTATTGGTCCATGTATATACAAGTAAGTTCAGAGGCATATCGGTTTTATGGAATTCACTGGAACTATTGCATTATGTGGAAAGGCAGAATGTCCGGTATAAATAATATAATATCTTAAGCCAAAGTTAGGCGCTATAATTGATTTTATACGGCGCAGAGTCATGGAGCAAAACCACAGAATCCAGAAACCAAACTCATAATTGTTCAACTAAATATTAAAGTTGCTATTCAGAATAAAAGCTAAACGCACAAATTACATTAATCACATACCGAACAGTTGTAAATTTCTCTGCTATAATTTTAGTGTGTTTCAGTGTGTATTTTATGATTGAGTCTATAATTAATGTTCAGTCTTTTCTGTTGTTGTCCATTGTGTGCGATAAGCAGCCGCAACAGTAACCGAACCGACAGTAAGTTGGCAACATTTTTGCCGCTTGCCAACATTTTGAGTAGCAATTTGGCTACAGGTTCGGCCCCTTGCCCGCTCCGGCCCAGTATGTAGATGCCTGCATGTGGCACATTTTGAGTAATGGGCTGCAAGCCAACTGATTGCTACTCCACTTCTATCAGTTGCAGCTGCTGGTGCTGCTGCTGCCGCTATTTTTACTTGGCATTTTGCATGAATTGCGTTTGATAGAATACTGTTGCCCGACCATCACCCCGATCTAAGTCCTACCTAAAAATGATGAATTGAAACAACAAGAGCTGTTGCTGCTTGCCGCATGATGCGGGTTGCATTGCTGCCAGTGATTACCAATACCAACTGCTGTCGGCGCTGCTTCAACTGCGGCTATGGCTCCAGAAGCGGATTTTAGTTCCGGGCTTCCGGCTTGGCCTTCAGTTGTTGAGTTGTTGTTAGTTGCCTTTTTTGGAAATCATAAATTTCACAACTACAGCAGGAGCAGCAGCAACAGCAACAGCAACTATCCAAACAGCAACCAGCAACAAAACCGCTTTGCATTTTGTTGTGGCTGCTGGAAAATGCTGAAACGAGCCATCCCAGAATCCCAGGCTAATGAACACAATACACAAACACAGACACACACACACACACAGCAGGGCGTTGGCGGGGGCGTGGCAGTTTATGGCCGTTGCAGCTGCACGAGCAGCAACAGCACTGAGTGCATTTGGAAATTATGAAATGTGCGCACATAAATGTGTATGTGTCTATTTTTATGCTCTGAAAGTCTATAAAGGGTATAATAAAGCTGCGCAACAATGAGCCATGAGGCATATATATTCATGATGAGCGTCAAAAGATGAATCGATTCGTCCGTCCACTTTCTGAATAATATTCATTCATTAGTCGATTTCCGATAACAATAAAAAGTCACAATTATAAAGATATAGGATTTGTATTAGGCATACCTTTGATCAATTGCAAAAATTTCATTTAGATCAATTTAGAATTACGGATAGAAATCTATTTAAATATTCACCAAATTAAACAGAACAGAAGAATCTCGATCATTTTTTGATTTTTTTTTATATATAAGGGCACACTCATAGATACTTACACACATACTTAAATAAAATAAAGCTGTTAGTTGTAGTATTTAAGCCGTAATAAGTAATGATTTGGCTTCAGGGTATCACCTAGTCGACTTCTCTTGAACATATTATTCGCTCTCTGTGTGTGTGTGTAGCCAATTTAGAACAAGCTTAAAATTTGCAATTAAATGACAAAAGTGGCCATGGCAAAGG